TAATCTGATGTAAGGCACTGCAGTTACGTCTAAACTTAAACTCCTTGTTTATTAGACAGCGATAAAGGCCCCACACTTTGTCAATGTCTAATGAAAAAGAGCTTCATTGTACGTCTTATCTTTTACACTACATAACCCTCTTCATCTTACACAGTAGGCAATTTAGATATGCGTGAAGAGACAACAAAAGCATTCTTTGCACTTACATCAGTGATGACTCGGAGTTTCTTTATGTAGGTAGCCTCTGTGTGCAGCAGCTCCCATATTGCTTCCTGCTGGTGGAACTGGCGTCTTGTCAGCGTCTGCGCACACACAGATTTTATTCATAAACATACACAATATTTATACGTTCCTCTCAACTGTTGCAATATTAGCGTAAACTTCCTTTAGATTAGACATTTTAATCGCAGCTCATTCCCATGTCAGAGTTTGGAGTACAACGATTATATCAGACATTTAAACTAAATACTAAAACTCCCCAACAATATTTCCTCAGAAAATTTTTACATATACAAACAAGTAAGAAATGAAATGACTTAAAGGACAATTCCAAGTACTTTTAGTTATTAAACGAACAATTAACTAAATGTTGACTTTCAAAATAAATCAAGTTACTGATCGCTTAGAATAAGGATAAGTGGTACAACATGGTGTGAGCCTAACAAACCATTTCTTCGCTTTACTCTTTAATTAAACACATTTTTATTATTTCTGCATACTTCTTTATGATTTCATGCTATAATGTAAATTGTATCCATACGTCAGTCGCAACGGCAGTTGTGACGGTTGCTTATTGTCTTAAAAATTCCACAGGAAATCTGTCACGCAACGCGACAAAAACAACAGTTGTTTCCTTGTGATGTTCTCATATTTTTTCACCGTAACTCACATCACCAACAGTATTGTGCTTCAGCAATCAAGACAGTAATGTGTTCGGTGTAACTAACCATCAGAAGTACATTTACAGTATGAAAGACAACCTTTTAGCCCTGCTGATTGATCGTGGACTCGTTAACTCGTTACCATGTGCAACAACTCGGTGACGGCATGAGATGTGCGGCACAGAAATTCAGTTCCTTGTGGTAACATAACAGCGAAGTGCATTATAACCAGTATTTCAGGAAAGGAGGCATCAGGTGTGTAAGAATGAGAACGATAGATATAAGGAAGTAGGAATTGTGCACACACCAGAAACCAGCATGCATACAAGTAATGTCATGAATGAGAAAATTGTAATGCCAAACCATTCGTGGTTCAGCATCACACCACTGGAAGTTACAAATATCTGCATTGATTCTAGTAGAAAACTGATTTCTTTCCATTATGTCTGCGTAAAAAACGAGAAGACAAAAGTGGGTGTGTTTGTGTGGTTTGCTTATCTGCACTGTACCTCTGAGTTGTCCAGTAGCGTTTGCCAGCTGTCCTCTAGGGATAGGTCGATCTCCTCCTCCCCCTCCCCCTCCCAGGAGTCCTGGTGGAAGGAGAGCTGCCGTGGCACCTTTGGCAATCCAAACATTGAGTAGGTCTGGAGTTTGCTCTGGAGCTGCTCCAGTCGATCCACCTCCTGCGATTAGATAAAAAACAATTTCAAAAACAGATGTGATTATTTTGAACGGAAACATGAAGAGACGCAAAAGTAACTGTCCATTTGTGTGACTGTTTATTGTTAC